GTCTTTATTCCACTGAGCAGCAAGGAATAAATCAGAACTCCCCCTTCTCTGCTAACCCCCCTTTCTGTCTCTCCCCTGATACCTCACAGATGTGGAGCATTAGAGAGAAGAGCAGAGATGCTTTATGAAATTAATATGTGGAAACTGCTTATTTACCATAAATGCCTAGCCCAGGGCTTTCTCTACAGTGGCCTGTCAAGATATTAAGCTGATTTCTTGCCTTCTGCCTACCAAAAAGTCTTCCTCTATTTCTGTGGGATAAGAGGGTCCCCTTGGCCTGCCCCCATACGAGAGAGGCAGTTGTTGGTGGCTTGGTATTTACGTCAGAAGTAAAGGGGGCTACAATTTAGTGGTAAACAAAACATTTCATCGATGATATATGAAATGTGTAAATCACTTTAGGATCCTGCTGGGTTCAAAAATCCTCAATAAACACCCTTCATTAGTATAATTGATAGTGAACTGGATGCTGGAGACCCGATAGATGAATACAAACGCTAGAACTTGCCTTGGAGTTCATTCATATCTAAAAATATGTAGAAGATATACCACAGCGCTCATGAAAGGCTCTTAACTGATTTTAATAGCAGTCATTACATGAGAAAACGAGACTTCCCCTTGTAACAGAGATGAACTGGGAAGAAACAAAGGAGGAGAGGTAACTAGTGCAGCACCCCAGTGCCCTGCCAGAATTACTGCTCATCATTCTTGCTTTCAGCAGTTAGCTGGCTCCTTTTGTCAAAGGCTACCACCATCTAATGAAACAATTAGGGCTTGACAGTTTAAATATGCTATTTTGTTCTTTTCAAGCCTAAGTGCCAGCCACTAAGACAAACTATACCACCACCTTCCTATCAGCACAGCCATTGTTATCCCAGATAGAATGCCCTAAAAATAAAATCCATTTTGTATGTGAAGCTTCATCAAGTCAGGTCATGTCTGTTCCTTAGGGCAGACTGCAGTGTACTAATTTCATTGTGCTATTTTTAAACGTGGCCTCCTTGGATCTTTAAGTGTGTCCTACATAGCTCAACAGGGCCTCAAGTTAATGTTTGGGGCTTTCTTGCTAATCACCTCTGCCCACCCTGCCCCCGGTCACCTCTGCAGGCCTATATAGTTACACAAAATCGGCACAGTAATGATGGGTATGGTCAGACTCCGATGAGCGTCACCTACTGAGCACCATGCAACCCATGAGCTAGTGGGTTATCTAACGGGAGTCGGTTTCTCAAATTCATTATTAAAATTACTCCAGCTTTCTAAAAAAAGGGGGTAGCACACACAAAAAAAAAAGATAATAGCTTTCTGGATGTGTTAGTCAGAGTTCTCTAGAGAAGCAGTACCTAGTGAATGAATGTTCATTACAAAAGGCCATTTATTGGATTGGCTTATGTGGTCTGTGCTGGGTAACCCAACAATAACTGTCTGCACACTGCTCAGTCCATGGAGCTGGATGCCTCAGGCATCCCAGTCAAGTGATGAAAGCCTAGGGGCTTTATGGAGAGCCCATGTCGGGATGGAGAAACTGAGTTCTCATGTCAGTGAAGGATGGTAGGAGTAGTCCCAGAAGAGGGGTGAATGTGCTCTCCAGCAAGAGAAAATAGGCAAAAAGCAACCTTCTTTCCCTCATATCTCCACCTATCTGGGCTGCTGCTGAGAGATGTCATCCATTCCTGGGGGAGAGTCTTACCCTCAGTTAATGCTTACAGAAAACATCCTTTCCAAACTGCCTAGAGATGGGGAACTTAGTCGACTCCATATAATATCAAGTTGATGACCAAGACTAACCAGTGCACTAAGATACCATCATGAGCCATTTTCAATCTCTCTAGCCACTTCTGTTCTGCCTCTTGTATAACACACTTCTTTTAGTTGTAAAGTAAACACAGACCCTTAGATGCATGAAGTTTGAAGAAAAGCATATCATTAAAAGCTACTCTTCTATTCATGACAAACAAGCCAACTCAAATGTGATGCAGATACACAGTAACTCTCTTCTTATCTGGTTTCATTTTCCACAGTCGCAGTTACTATAAAAATGTTATGTAACAAATTCCAGAAGTAAACAATTCATAGAATTTAATTCCCTCTGTGTTTTGAGAAGCATGATAAAATCTGTTTCCAAACTGCTCTGTAACACCCACAGATGTGAGTCATCTCTTTGTCCATCCATTCCATGTTGTACCTACTGCCCGCTCATTAGTAACCTGGTAACAACTTGGGCTGTCAGGACTTGTGTTCAAGTAGCCCTTATTTAACTTAAAACACAGTGGCCCCAAAGCACAGGAGCACAGATGACAAGAATATACCAGGCATAAAACATGATGACAGGTTCACAGGAAAGAGAATATCATATGTATAGGCATCGTATATACAGTCTCTAATAGTGACCATCCATTGTGGGTCTTGGAAAGTGTTCCCCTATGTGTAAGAGGAGACTACTGAATCATGGACTCTCAAACAACACTGTGTCAAAAAGGTTTCTCCTAGCTCCTCAGTGCTCTTCTTCCCTGTTCAAGCTACCATGTCAGAAAGGCTCTCTTCCTAGGGGTCCCTCAACAGTCTCAAGGTAACAATTATACAGCCAAGTCGTTCTAACAAGGACATCTCCTTCATCCAAATCATTACAGCTAGAATCCCCAGTTGAGTCATTATAATGGTTTGATGTAGGTGCCCATCCCTGAACTTACAGTATGGCCAGAGGAATGGAAATGTCTGGCTTCTTGCACTTAATTTTGTTATAGGCTTACTAATGTAGCAAGAAATTTAGATCTGTCCTATATAAACCCCATGGGTAGGAGAAAGAAAACATGGCCCATCAGAGATCACTGACGTTGAGGAAAACATACAGAGTATGAAAAAAATAGATATTCACCACAAAGACCTGTGTCACCACACACAAAAATTAATATTCTTTAAATTTCTCTTATTTATTTAGATAAGAATCAGAGATACAGACTTCACACTGGAAGAAACGGAAGGATTCAAAGGTTTTTCTTTTTCACACATTTGGTTGTTTGTACTAATTGTAAGAGTTTAATATTTCCTCATCTAAGATTTAGATATTGTCAAGAAATGCCAGTAACAGGAAAAAATAAGGAAATAATACCTGATCAAGAGCAGGCAAATACTCAGAATGTTGTCACTGGGACAGAGCGCCATCAGGTCAAGTACTCACATTTGAATCTGCTGGGCACCTGCCTTCCTTTCTCATCTTTACCTGATAAAAACTTGCCTGTCTTTCTGGACTGGCACTGCTTTCAAGATTTTCATTTTCTTTTCTTCCCCATTTATTTATTTTTGTACTTTGACATTTTGGTTGTGATGTGTGTAGGTATTGATTTCCTCACACTTCTCCTATTTGGAAATGGTTGGATTGTTTGGATGTGTATGTTAATATTTACAATCCACTTTGGAAAATTTTAGCCCTACCCTTTCATTTCTCGCTCTTTCTCCTCTATGTATCAGTTTATTTTAAAGAGTCAGTGGCATCCAGATTTCTCTGATACTGGTTTAGCTTTCCACCCTTTTTCTGTCTCTTAGTGGTTTACACTCTTTAACTGATATAACTTTGTCAGCTGGTTTTTTTCTTTCCCCCGTGAATTTTGAGCCTTTCTTACAAATTTTTCATATGATTGTATTATTTCTATTTTTTTTAAATTTGTATGTGGGTGTGTGTGACTTTAGGGCAATGCCCAATGTGGCCAGAAGAAGGTGTCAGATCCCCCAGATCTGGAGTTAACGGATAGAACTCAGATCCTCCATGACAGCATTACAGTCCCTTAACCACTGAGCCATCTTGACAGTCTCCCATCTTGACAGTCTCCCATCTTGACAGTCTCCCATCTTGACAGGCTCTGTTTTTAACTCCAGAACTTCCATTCGATTTTTTTTAATGTTTGTTCTCTGTTAATTCTCTATTTAACAAAATATTGCCATTATGTCTTCTTAAATTCGTTAGACATGGTTTCTCTTCGTTCTCTGAACATATTTTAATAGATTCTATAAAGACCATGTTTGCTAAGCCTAACATTGTACTTCCTCCAAAATCAGTTTCTATCACCTACTATTTTTCTAACACATGTGTACCATTTTTGGGGGAGAGGTGTTCTTTGAATATTCTTTTTTTTTTAATTTGAAACTCACATTAGATAATATAGGTAAGTAATTGTGGATACTCATGTCCCTCAGGGAGTCACTGCTGGGTTGTTTTGTTTTTACTTGTGTTTTTAACCATTTGTTTATTTGGCTAGTGGCTAATTCTTTGAGGCCTATTTCACTTGTACTACACAGCCTTAATGTTTCTGCCCAAGTCACTTAGACTCATTTTTATTTTTAGTCTACTTTCCCAGGATCTGCCTCTTCTTCAACAGAGGCTACTTGTAAGTATTGTGAGACAAAGTTTATGTTCAGCTCCTGTAGTCTGTTAGATTTGTACCCTTTACCACTGGGTAAAGAAGGGGGCTTAAGAAGTACTATTATGTTCCAGGACATCCATGACCAGGCAGGGATGAGTAATTGTAAAGCTCTCTGATTACTCTGGAGAAAGAATCACCTGGGACACGCATAGTTTCCCTAACTGCCAGGAGACATATAGCACCAGTGCTGTTTAAAGGGTGTGGCCCTTGGACCAGAGCATCTTAGTACTCAGCCAGCATCCAGTGCTAGTGCCAGGCAGCTTTCTGTGGGTTGATTGACCTGTGTCCAGTGTGAGTGATCTGAAGTCTCCTGCAAATCCTGTTCTGACTGCTTCTGCATAGCCTGCCCAGCTCAGGGCCGTCTTTCTGAACAAGACTTGGCTGTGATTCCAAGAGAGGTATGCTTGGCCATCTCCGACTACAGTTCTCTCTGTTACATTTCTGGCTGTGGCGCTGCGTTATACTTGTTGCTACTCGTACTGTGGAGCTACTAACACCCTCTTAATTATCCTCCACTGAATCCCCATTGTCTTCAAAACTCTCAGAACTGGAATTCTCCAAGCTCTGTTCTACAGAGTCTACACACTCCAGAAGAACTGTTTTCAGCCCTGAAGCACAGCAGCTTGGAGGAAGGACAGTGAGCTGCCTCTCTTGAAGAGACACCCTGGCTCCATGAGTGGGTGACGATGGAGTGTAATAAAAGGTATTAGCCCCTCTGTCTACACTAACCCCTCCATGTGTGCCACCTCCACGCAATTGAGACACGCACAACAGGGACTCCAGCCTTCTCAGCCTGCCATATCTGGGGTGGACCTTCTGTCCTCGGAGTAGAGGCTGGTGAACAATGGGATCCTTAGTCCTTTCAGCCACACTTTCCTCAACAGAGCTTTTGCTTTCACGGGGCTGGAGGAGAGAAAAACACGTATAACCTGCCGGCCTCATGGTCAAAACATGACGCCGTACTGGGTGCTTGAGGACCTCTTCGTGGCTACCTCTCTTCTCTTGGCCACACATGCCCAGAGTAAGAACCACCAGAAAAGAGTTTCCAAACACAGAACTTGGAGTGAGGAATGACTCAAATGCCACAGAATCCAGCTATAATCATACTGAATCATTTTTCTAGGATTTCTTGTGTGTGTAACCTTATGACAATTTCCGTAGATTTGAAACAGGATTTTAGAAATAATTTCTATGAGCTAAATGGCTGCCATACTAAGTGTTTTACCCCACCCCACCCCACCCCACCCACCCCCACTGATTCTGGTAACCCCTCTACACTCACATTTAACCTCCATTGCTGTTAGTTACAAATCCTAGAGTCACAGGCCATTCAGGAGTGTAAAGAGTTATCTAGTCTATTCCTTCTGCCTTTGGGCAGGATAATACCTTAGTCAGCCCAGATAGATGAAAATCTATACTGGTTTTGAAAACCTCCAGAGAAAAAACATTTCACAGCCTTCCTTAATAACCTAAATCAGTACTTAACAACTCTCGGTGCCAGGAATTTCTTCCTTGCACATAACCCAAAGCCCATGTGCTACAGTTTAAAGGCCCTTTTCTCATCATCTGTCCTGCAGGAGATAGAGAACAGCTGGCCAGCATACACCACACTTCCTCTTTAGGAGACACCAGCAGGAGCCTCTTAAAAAACTATATTTTCAATCCTCCTTTGCTTCTGCTCTAGGAATAAATAATCTTAATAGTTCCTCCTATTCTTTTTTTTTTTTCCAGTCCTCGAATAACCTCTCTGCTCTCATCTGAAATCTTTTCTCTCTGGTATTTGCCCTCTAGAGATTCACAGTATTTCTCAAGGTCGGAGCCCAGTGGCGCATGCCTGAGTGTCTCGGAGCACTGGTTGAATATGCACATTCTTTCCATCCTAGACTAAGAGACTCATGATCGTGGCTATGGATCTGGGCATCAGGACGCTTAGCAAATTGCCACAGGTGGTCCTGCGGTCTGTCCTGCCGAGGGGGCTCTGCGGTAGCTGAGCCCAGGTAGATGACAATCTGGGAGGAGAGACAGCCACTCCTTACTTGCACGGTAAAGTCACAGGGCCGCTTTGAAGAACTCGCTCAGGTTGCACCCCAGTCCAGGCAAAGCACAGTCTCCAGGGTGGCAGGAGGACCAGCAGTCTTTGCAGATGTCTCCTGCTGGATTCCAAGGGAAGTCAAGAGAATCTGTCAGTTCTTCAAAGCAAGGTTAATATTAGCATTTTATCCCAGCACTTCCTAGCACGAGGACTAGCACAGAGAGTGTTAAAGTAATGCTGTCTGGGTCAGGTGACTCAGATTTAAGCCTTCGTCCTACATCTATGTTTATCGGATATCCCATGTTCTTTCATCCATACCATGGAACTTTATAGAGACAGGTGGGCATGTGTGCCCTGGTGCTCCTGTGGAAGTGGGGACAACCTTGTGCAGTTGGGTCTCTCCTTCGATCTTCAGCTTGGTCCTAGGGATTCAACTCAGGCTGTTGTTCCAGTTTGTTCTGCTACAGTGGGGGTCTAACCCAAGGCCTTACACATGCTAGGAAAGCACTCTGCTACTGAGCTGTAGACCCAGCATAGCCTTTTTCCCCCTTACAATTTTAAGATGGTTCTGTATATTAGTAATTAACAGATTCTAAAAATAATTTGAAATAATAATGTGGGAACAAGATAGCCATAATCAAAATTGTGATCAACTCAGATGAGCTTTTTTATTCTTGTTTATATATGCATATTATATATATATATATTTAATATAAATATATCTTTTTAGGAAGAGAGAAGATATGTGCGCTGAAAACCACACCAGGTCACGCAAGTTCATTGTCTTCTTTTGTTTAACTGGGGTCTTAATGAACAGTCTTCCCACAGAGCAGGCACTTAAAAAAACGGGACAGAATCTCCTCCGGCATAGCAGTGAGCACAGTGCTTGCTCTAGCTCGGACTTAACTACGCATCTGCTGGACAAAGACACAATATTGAGTAATTACACTATGGTTCTCGTTAGCTCTTTAGATATTTTCACAACTAGGACATCTATTAAGTGCCAGTGGCTAAGGATAGGAATGGTATTGAGCAGAACTGAGCAGAGTGCAGCCAGTAATGGTAGAGAACTCTGTTCATTATGGTCAAGAGCTTGGAGCCCTTGTGCTCACTACCCTTAGTGATGAATCTAGATAGCAGATAGACCTGACATTGAACAACTCCAACTCTTTATGACAAATGATCTTCTAAGAAATTATATTTATGTTATTTTCACATTTTTCAACTTTATTTATATTTTATGTATGAAGGGTTCTGCATGTGTACCTGCTTGCCAGAAGAGGGCATCAGATTCTATTATAGATGGTCGTGAGCCACATGTGGGTGCTGGGATTTGAACTCAGGACCTTTGGAAGAGCAGCCAGTCCTCTTAACAGCTGAGCCATCTCTCCAGCCCCTTTCTACGTTATTTTTAACAAACTGTTTTTAAACAAAAATAAATGGATGTTGCAGATAGTATAGGTGTCTGTAAAATTTATATATATATATTTCCAGAACTGAACCTTTAGAATCATTATCTAGCTGTCTGATGACCATAGGAGATCTCATTTTGTGACTAAAATGAATTGACTAGTCATCAGTCTTTCCTGTTTTGTACACTCCCTTACAATTTTAATGTAACGGGGGTGGAAGAAAACACCCTAGGGTGCTTGTTTCCTTTTGTTGGTTTTTTTTTCCCCCAGGGGGAGTAGGTTTGGCATGAACTAAAAGGGTGTTTTATTTCCTCAAGTCAGTCCTAGAGTATCTTTCGTTTGTTTTCATAGGATGTGACTGCTACCAGGAAAAGCTTCTAAGCCATGTCCATCCAAGATGACTGAGACCAGTTTCAGCTGGCATATCTTAGCCTTAGCTGGGAGGACTCGAGCTCCAGTCTTTCTTACAGTTATATTCTTAAAATATACACCGAAGTCCACATTATCTTTATTCTATCTGTACAGTATGTTTTAGCTATAGTTTGACAGTTTATGTATGGAGACGCAGAGAGACTAATGCAGAATACCTTTCAAGGGAAAGTTTTGCATCCTGCAAAGCTGATGGCAGAAACCATGTCATTGACACAAGATTAATTCAAATACATTCTTTCAGGCCCTCGACTGAAAGATTTATGTATAAGATACACATAAAACCAGTCTGTCTACTAAGCCATGTATACATTTTTATTACCACATCCACTTTTTTCCCTATATGGTTTGAAATCTATATTAATCATTTTTCTTTCATCATTTGTTTTCTGTCTATTAATGTGTCAGTTACCTTTAAATAAACCAGAATATACAGGCTATAAAGCTTTTTATGTAGCAACACAGATTCTTGAAAATGTAGAACACTGTAAACTAAACAGTTGTCCAATTAGCAAATTTTCTAGAAAGTTCTATGAATGAAGTATTTTGGTCAGTAGTACTAACTTAACGCAGAGATGGTAATATTGAAGGAAAGGCTGGTTATTTGGGAAATCAAAATGTACAGTTAAAGTACTTACCTAAGAGTTTTGATAAAATAACAGAAAACCCATTGTCACTTAGAAAGGGGTAGGAGTGGGTAGGAATTGGCTAATTTGCCTAATTCTTGTGATCAGTTGTTCACATTGATGAAGTTCATGTTGATACCTCTTGTCAGGAGCAGATGGATTCACATCTCAACAAAATGTGAGAAGATACAGATGTACCTTGAGGAGTGTTGACAGCTGCTGTGACTCATTTCCACAGTCCTCCTCATTACAATTATTGCAGGATTACTGTTTTGAATTAAATTATTCCAGATTATGCCCCACAAGGCCTTATTTGATTTTATGGACTTAAGCTAAAAAGAGAGTCTTAAGAAACAGTTTTTTTTGTTTTTTTTTGTTTTTTTTTTTCATCAGGCCAAGCTGCATTTCTACCAAGCTGGAACATCCAAGAACTTTAGTGAACTCAGACACTGGCCCTGTGTAATCTGGAAAAGCTGCTTCTCTTCTGAAATCACCCAGCTCCAGCCTAGCAAGTGAGATGCCCCTCACTTAGCCAGTAGCCCACATGGATGCACACTCATGAACAGAATCAGGATTGTTGTTGGTTCATTTGTTTTGTTTTATTTATTTTTATTCTTTGGGGGCCCACCACCCAGATAAATACACAGATACTTATTCTTACTTATGAATGCCTAGTCTTAGCTTGGCTTGTTTCTAGCCAGCTTTTCTAACATAAATTATCCCATTTCTCTTTAATTATGTTTTGCTTCTGGGCTTTTCCCCTTTCTTTGTTTTTATCTCTTTCTTTCCTTTTTACTCAGTGTCTGGCTATGTGACTGGGCGGATGGCGCCTGGTATTCTCCTCTCCTTCTCCTTTTCTCATTCCTCCCTCTTGAGTCTAGATTTCTCCTCCTCTTTATTCTCTCTGCATGCCAGCCCCACCTGTCCCTCTCTCTTGTCTAACTATTGGCGGTTCAGCTCTTTATTAGGCCAATCAGATGTTTTAGACAGGCAAAGTAACACAGCTTTACAGAGTTAAGCAAATGCAACATAAAAGAATGCAATGCATCTTTGTATCATTAAACAAATGTTCCACAGCATAAACGAATGTAACACATCTTAAAGTAATATTTCACAACAAAGGATGTGTGAAGCATCACCAAGAATGAGCCTTCTTGAATTTTTGAATGAGCAATAAGCATTATTGCCAGGAGAGTCTTTTCAATAGTAACTGGGTGCTTTGACAAATTAGGATGCTTATGTGCAGGTACTAATCATCTTTATTGTTTTTTAGGAAAATTACTGCCTGTTTTATTTGTGAAAAAGAAATGGACTCTTCTAATGGTGATCATAGAAATTTTCTTCAAGGAAAGCATTGATTTGGACTTGCAATGATTTTATCATTGACCCAGTAACCCCGGGAGTACAAGGCCTCGGGTAAAAGCAGAGCTTATACGACAATTTAGTTTTCATCGGGTGAAATTATACTATAAATTCAAAAGATGATAAAGGTTATATCCATTGAATTAACATCTGAGATGATAAATACCATAAAACCACCTTTTAATATAATTTGCTCTTCTATTCTAGGATTTAAAAAATGATTGGTTTTAAACTTGATATATGATTTTAAAAATGTTTTTAGGGTTAAGTTCTATAGTTTCCTGAAGGGGGAAAAATCTTTGAGGAAATGCTCACACAAGATATTTTAAGCTGTTTCAGGTATCTTTGAGTGTACAATGGGGAGATTCTCTTTGCTCTAGATCACCAGAAATCTCAGATTTTTTTTTTCTTACCTCACAGGGAGGAAATCCAGAATCAGTAAAGAAAGGGACCAACTTTTGATTTAAGAAGCCTAGAATGACCATACCGTGTGGAATATTACACCTATAAAATACAATGTCCTTCCCTTGATAAACCTCATCATCTATAAATTTGACATTATTTGTATCAAATACATTAAGGCAGAAAATGTAAGCTGAATTGTTATTAAATTCCTGCAAATGAAGTCACTAAATTATAATAGTAAAGCATTACTATGCAAATTGGAGCTAATTTTATAATATCCCTATCTAATTATTTACAGTGTATGGAATTATGGCACTGTTAAGCAGGACAGGATGTTGTATGAAACAGTGTGTTTTTAATTTGAGCCATTTTTACTTCCTGTGATTTTTTTTTTTTTTTTTAGTTATAGTAAGCATGGAAAAGGATTTAGCATGGAGAAAACAAGGGCAGATGTCTCCTTCATTGTGTACTCAAGGACTTAGCTAATTAATATTTTCCATGTGCTTCAAGCGCAGAGATGGAGGTGCACAGAGCTTCCTTTTTTCCAGTCTTTATGAGATGTCGAGTAGAACAGTCTACAAAGATTTGCTCCAAGGAATATTTTTAAGAGATTTGTTTTGAGATGAAGGGTTCCTCGAGAGTGAGGCAGCCTGAGTGGGCCTAAGCCTCCAGCTGTGTTCCTCTCCAAAAAAGAGTTAGAGAAGGCAGCTCGCAACGTGGCCTCGCAGAATTACCTTCGAAACGGTACTTAAGGAAAGGCTTGGAGAAGACAAGACCACTTTCCATCCAGAGGAGAAATCACATTGAATAAACAGTTTTAGTGAAAGGTCGCTGAATGCTGCTTTAGAGGGACCTCCCTCTTCCTAGACAAGCAAACACCAGTGTTTAGATTCATTTACGGAGGGCCATTTACTTCCTGTTGCCCACACAATCTTAGTTTTACCCTTCCTATTACTCAGCAATTTCATATAAGCTAAACTGTCAGCATATGAGAAACATCTCTGCCAATGAGATTTTTTTTTTCTTCAGAAAACCTCGCCAAGTTTATGAGCCAAGAAATAGCTGAATTATAATGCCTGGAACTTCAAAGAGAAAGAGGAGTGAATGGTACTAAATATTTCTGTAAAATATCTTTGAATTAAAATCAGCAAGGACTGATGGATATGAGAAGACCATAGTAAAAGTTTAGGGTGTGACGGGGTATGGTGTGTGAATACCTGGCGACGAGAATAGCCCATAGGTGGAACCTTCTTGCCTAGTTATTTTCCATTCTTAGCTTGTGAAAGTGACTATTAATTCAAGGGGGAAACATGTCAGATGAACAGGTCCTCACTGTTTTCTCTTGAGTTAATACATTTTGCTGCTTCTGGGAGCCACCTGTTTTTGAGGGGGTAGCAGAGCTCTTCTGAACCATCCCTATAAAAAAGTCCCTTGATCATCAATTATGTGAGAATAAGACAAAGTTTCCCCCATTCCCAATTCTTCCAATACCTTTATTTTCACTCTGAAACGACATGACTCTTACAAAGCCTGCAGGAAATGCTCTCAGTAACATTTTACCACTCCCAGAGGACTGTGCATTGCAGCAGACTAACAAGACACACTGCTTCCTAAATGTAGACAACAGCTTTATTCCAGGTATCATTAGGAGTTGAATTCGCTAGTAACAGAAACAAGATAGAACGACAGATTGAAGTGGTTGGTTTCTCCCACATGGAAGAAGTCTGGTGATAGGAGGCCTTGGATTTAGGGTGCTCCGTGGTCCCCTTCATCCTGCTGCTTCGCCCTGATTTGATCATAGTTCTCATCCTCCACTTGGCCTGCTAATCAAAGATGGCTGTTGCCATACTGGTCACATCCAGGCAGGGATGATTGGTGACCGAAAGGGATACAATTTGATGTTCTCCCTTTTTATATTATTTCTTCATAAGTTCTTCAGACAACTCTTGCTTACATAATACTTACTATAAGTTGTTATTCAGGAATATCCTTGCCCTAAGTAAATTTGGAGAATTTGGCATTCAGAAGAAAAAGTAGAGGGCTTAGGGTGTAGCTTTGTAATAAAGCATTTGTCTAAATGTTTGAGATAGAGGAGTCAATCTCCAGTGCCACTAAAAAATATTCAGGGGGATAGTTAATGGATAAGTCAAGTCAAGTTGTTGCTGCACCTCTTAAAATGCAAATTTCTCACAGTTCCCTTACATAGTTCATGCACTTACAAGCATGGTCATTGTTGTTAGCCCATTCTCACTACTTATAAAGATAAATACATTATCAATTCAAGGGCCTCAATTATAGTTAACATATGGAAATAAAATTCAATCCCATAAGCAAACTACCAATCATTCTTTGTTCTTAGCTATACTGAGAATGGCCAACTCATCCTGTATACCTTTGCTCATTAGTTATTTATGGTTAAGCGACCCTTAGTTTTCCATACTAGTGAGACACTAGATTGTCATGGATAACAAGATACAGAGAAAGCTGTTGAAAAATCTCAAATTCAACACCAATATTTGGAGTTTTTTTTATTCCTACTTAAATTATCGGTTGAATTTCACATATATGAAAATAAATGAAGAAACCAAATCCCATGCTTGTAGACAAACCCACACACAGAAGAAAATTATAGTTCATATAAGTGAAAATGGCAGAGGATTCTTTTTATTGCCTAAAAGAACTTGTCAAGAAAAGTGTCTTAATATCTCAGTGTGTTGGTGTGAATAATGTGGCATTTAAAGATGAACAAGCATGTGAATAACTTTTCTATTTCTCTCTTTCATGCTTCCTGGGGACCCTAATAAACTGGACTTATAAAGAGATAAATGCTGAAGTCTAAGGAAAGTCTTGGAAGTTTCCAGAAAGCATGTGGATTGTGCCACCAGAAGAAAAGGATGAAATGTCTGACTTTACAATAATCATGAATGGGATCCTGGGCCCAATTTTCAGTGCTACAGAAAAACACAGCACAACAAAAGAAAAACCATGAAACTCAAGAGCTGGTTATGGAATATCATGACTCTTCCCTTACATCCAGTAAGACCTCTTAAGGGTTCAGTCATAGCCTTTGCTCAAACCAGTTTAAGTCATCAGGACCTCCTCTTCCTCCCTTCCTTCCCTCCTTCCTTCCTTGATTCCTTTCTCTTTCTTTCTTCCTTCCTTTCTTTTCTTTTTTCTTTCTCCTTTCAAGTTTAATTATTTATTGACATTTTTATTTTATTCTTGAGATTATAATTATTTTTCCACTTCCCTTTCTTTCCTCCAGACTCTCCCACTCTCCCATGTATCCCTCCTTGCTCTCTTTCAAATTCATGACTTTCTCTTTTTTTCATTACTTGTCTCATTACATGTATGTATGCATATGTATAGACATGGATATTCCAAAATATATCCTGCTTAGTCTTTATAAGGTCACCTGTATGTATTTTTTCAAGGCTAACCAACATCTGGTATTGGATAACCAGTTGATGTGCTGCTCTTCCCTGGGAAAGACTATTTCTCCCAGTGTCAGCATCTCTCCGTTGCCTGTGGTTCTTTGTGGAGGGTTTGAGGGCTCATGGGCTTCCCCCCTTCCACTTTGGAACATCTTTTGTTGTCCTTGTTCCTCTCGTGTGGCTGAGACTTTATGGGTGGAGCTTCTGACATTACAAAGAGACACAATCTCACAGTAAACACCCTAATCCCCTGTCTCTTTCTGCTGCCCTCTTCAGCAATGTCCACGGAGCCCTAGGTGTGGGAGTTATGTAGTAGATGTATTCGTTGGGACTGAGCTTTACAACCCTGCATTTTGACTGATTGTGGTTTTCTGCCATGGCCTCTGCTGTTGCAAAGATAAGTTTCCTTAATATGGGGTGAGAATTACACTTATTTGTGTTTATAAGGACAAATACTTTGGAATGTAACTGGGGATTATGCTGGTTTAGCAGATGGGTTGTAGATTCTCCTCCAAGATCTATGACTTTATTAGCCCTGGATTGTTGGCTAAGTTTTCAGGACCAGACATGATTTCCCTCTTGTTGAGTGAGTCTTAAGTCAAGACCAAGTAGAGAGCTATTGGTTACCACCAAGGTATGTGTACCGCTACTGCATCCTTCAGGTTATTGTGCCAAGCTTGTCGTTGTTGTAGTTCATAGGCATCATAGCTGTGTAAAACTGTTGGTTGCTTCCCTCCTTTGGAAGCTTACATGTTGCCTTCAGCTACAATGAAAGCTAGTCTTCAGGGAAGAAGGATTCAGGTCAGTTCCAACTCGGTCCTCTTGGTCCTGTGCCTTAAGTCTATAATTTCTTCAGCAACAGGAATTTACCTTCCATCTATGGGTGACAACCAAGGGCAAAAAGCAATAGCCTGCATGTCTTAGTAGTACCTTCTACAATCTTGACCAACAATCGAGAAGAAGGATTCTCATGCCACCAGGGCCTCTTTGGTAATGAACAATAAACTTCATTTCACTTATGACTGCCTCCGCATCTCTGTCTTCCTGCCTCAGGAATGAGAAGCTTTGGGGAAAGGAATTAAACTTTCTAATGTTTGTTCTCTCATCTTTAAAATGTTGCAAAGATGTAGGAGGTGACATTAAGGATAGACCTGACATAGAGATGGTTTGAAAATGAGTTAGGCATCAAGACAAGAAGCAGAGGGGCTGGAGAGAGATGACTGAGGGAGTCAGAGCCCTTGGTCTTGTATAAGACTCAGGTTCTCGTGAACCCACGTGGTCGTTCACTACTATCCATAACCCAAGTTCCAGGGGATCTGCCATCTTCTTCTGACTTCTGTGGGTACCAGGTGTGCACATCTTGTACTTACATACAATCAGGCAAACACTCATACATACAAAATAAATATTTTTTTAAAAGGAAAGAAGCATAGAAACCATTAAGCAATGTTCTTAGTCTTTTATGGTTGTTTAGGAGAGAGGTGTGAGTCACTCATACATGTGCAGCAACAAAATTTTCTAGTATGCCATGTATGAATCATCAACTTAAAGTGTCAGTTTTGAAAGGAAAACTTAAATATGTTTAACACCACAATAATAATGAACAACACTTCAATCTCTTTTGATAGTTCATAAACTACTTTGCTATCTTGTATAGCCTGGCAATCATCAAGATTATAGGAGATGTTCATTGCATAGCCAAAAAGTAGTGGTTAACAAGGTATTTTGGTGAGTAAGAAACTGTATTCAGTTTCTTATCTGTATTATTTATTTAATTTTATTATCTGTATTCAGTCTAAACGTGGCTTGCAAGTGTTATCAACTAGTGTTTAGATCAAAAGGTTTCCACTAAGCCATAAGTACTTTCAGATCACACTTGGACTGTGCATCTCAAGTTGATGAAATTAAGAAGTCTGATCTACTCCATAGCAAACATTTCTATGGTCTAGATTTGTCACATATTTTTCTTACTTTATGTATTATATATATGACAAATGTCACCATGCCTGGGTTTGCTAAAAGCATAACATGATTCATGTGCACACATATGCATCTATGTGACATGCTTATTTTAACTAAATGCAAAGGGTTGATATAAACATCTGATATAATTGTCCTTCAAAGAAACAACTTTGTGGGGCAGCGGTGGTGCACACTTTTAACCCCAGCATTCGGGAGGCAGAGGCAGGTAGATCTCTGTGAGTTCGAGGCCAGCCTGGTGTACAAAGCTAGTTGCAGGACAGCCAGGGTGGTAACACAAAGAAACCCTGTCTCAAAAAAAAAAAAAAAACCTTTAAATTTTCAATTGATTCCAGAATTTGAAACTTATGTAAAATATCATAGGACTTTACCTTCAAAATGCCCAAAGGTCATGAAAGAAAACCATACTGATATTTGACAAATTACATTTCACTGAAAAACAGCACCACCCAGATAGCTCACTCACTATATCAATTTTGGTTTCAAGAAATTTCCCTCTCTCAAATGAAGTGCACCTTCATACATAAAAATGTGTCTTCTCAGAGGATGTTGGAAAGGTTCTGAAGGCAATTACAAAAAGGGAACATTTTAAAAAGGTTTTTAAATAAATGTACTATCGCAGTGTGACTATGGACTCCTGGAGGACTGTTCTGAAGTGAGAGACTCACAGGAGGATGAATCCTGATGGGTTTCTTTTTATAAAGCAGGCGTCTCAGGTATACCATCTGTTGAGCCTGCCTGATTCTGTCAGACAGGAATGTTTTCATCATGTCTTCCTCAGGGAGAATGCAAGGCACACAGACCAGGGGAGAAGCTTAGAGAGTATGGGAAAGCCATGTATCTCAGAATGAGGAAGCAAGAAAAATCAGAAGAGAGAAACAAAATGTAAGTGCTGAAAGACAAAGACAAGATGGGGCAGTTACTATGTTTCAGAATGTGTTAGGTATTACTCCGAATGCTCTTGTTGGTGATAATTGTCACTGAGCATTTACCACAGACCAATCATCATGCTTGTTACTTGGCAAGGGAGAGTTCATATAAGCAGTAAGCGCATCTAAGCAAGATGCCATTACTAAGTGCCTTCCAGAGGAGCTGGAGGAGAAACCTGTAAGTGAATGGCCTAGACAGCATTCAGATTCCTGTTTCTATGACTTGGAAGTTGTGATATGTCCATATCATGAAACAAACAGAAACCAGCACCTCAAGAGATTTTTTTTTTCAGCGAGTCAGCAAGTGCAGACACATCTAAGACACTTTCTCAGAGAATGTGGACCATCGGTCGCTCTGAGCCCATATCATATGATTCCTGGTGATTCCATCCCACGTTTTATTATGGCCTTGGACTTCCTCTTGAGAGCTCCAAGCACATGCCTGGGAAAAAAGGGAAGCACCAACTCAGTGCCCAGTCAATGAGAGTGACACCAGATAACCACAGTGGTCCTAGAGTGCTGTTTTATTTGATTAGCCTCCCTTCTAATACTGGAAAAAAAAAAAACTTTCTGCTTAAGTTTCTGGATCATGATTATTTCCCCCCAGGATCTTAATGCTGCCTATGTCATGATAGCTCACCATTGGGAATAAACTGAATATTGAGAAACTTCTCTACAGATTACAGTTTTTAGATTGACTTTTTTTAAGTTAGCATACAAAAAAAATGGGCTTCATTGTGGCATTTTCATATACATGTCTGTCTTAGTTAAGGTTTCCAATTATAGCACCCCATCCATAACTATCTATTCTATTTCCCTTTCCTGAGCTCTGTTCTTCCTCCAGCCCTTTACTGTATACTTAACCTCAGTGGTTCTATGGGTTGTAGCTTGCTTATCTTTGACTTAACAGCTAACATCTGCGTATAAAGGATTTCATACCATATGGGTCTGGGTCACCTTGCCCAGGATGATTTTTTTTTTCAGTTCCACGCATTTACTGGTGAATTTCATGATTTCATTTTTAAATGGTAGAATACTATTTCATTATGTAAATGTACCACATTTTCTTTATCCATTCATCTGTTGAAGGACATCTAGGTTTTTTTTTTTCCCCCAGTTTTCTGGCTATTGTGAATAGAGAAGCAATGGCCATAGCTGAGCAAGTGTCTCTGTAGTAGGATGAAGCATCCTTTGGGTATATGGCCAAGAACGGTACAGCTGGATCTTGAGGTGGATCAATGTCCATCTTCCTGAGGAACCTCCACATTCATTTCCATATTGCTATGTGAGTTTGCAGTCTGAACAGCAATAGATGGGTGATGGATAACTATTTGAATTCCCTTTCACCAATCATAGAAACTAAGCCCTCAATAAATGAATTCATGTCTGACCATTACACACACATCTTAACACCAAGTGAGGGATTCCAACTGAGCATGTGCAGCTGTGAGCTACTACTACACAGAGGCAGAATGTACACTTCCATTCTTGCTCTTTATCAAAGCGTTGTGCTCTTCATTCTGTCAATTGATACCGGATATAACACACACACACACACACACACACACACACACACACACACACACACACTATTGGGGTTCCTACAAAAGAGGTATTAGAGTGTTTCTCCTCCTCAACCTCCTTCTCCTCTTCTGCTTCCATCCCGTTTAAATCTCCATCCTTAGGCAATCCAGGGTATATCCCACAGGAATCCAGTTTCCAATTAGTCTTTTTGCTCCATGAAAACCCTATCACGGGTTCCTCAGATTTTAATACCTAGACAGATGTATGTGCTCTATTAAGGGAGAAGTGCTGTGGAACGTGGTATGCTGCGTGCCAAGATAATCTCCTATTCCATAGACGCCGATACTCAGTT